TGGCAACAATCGGGTAGCTATCAGTTTTAAATATAGCATACCTGATTTGTACCTGATTTGCCAGCTTTTGACTAGTGCAACTTGTATGTTCTCGACATTAATGCTTATGTGTATTATGATAAATGATACTCTATATATGCACTCTCTATAGCTAAATACAGATCTCCCTAGATAATAAATCTACTATATACTATACCCAGCTTGGTAAAATTTAAAAATATAATGCAAATTATAAAACTATAAATCTAAAAGCTATTAATTTGACTTTAAATTGTGAAACCCATAACCCAAAAGCTTAGTAAATTGCAAATCTTAGTAAAAATAATTTCCTGAATACAATCTAATTATTATTATCTAAATGACATATGAATATTATAAATTATATAAAACACCTAAACTTGATAGCTAAAAAATATAATTATAAAAATCTATAATTAATAAAGTTATCAGCATAAATCTGAAAATCAAAAACTTAAAATCAATTGTATAAACTTAAAAATTGAGAAAATTTTAAAATTAATATCAAGCACAAAGAAATCTAAAGCTTAGTAGAGCAGCTTATCAAAGCTATCTAAAGTAGAAAATCCGAGATTTAACTATTAAAACAATCTTTACTTAGAAAAATTAAAATCTAATAAAGCTATCTGCTCAAATAAATCAGTGAAAATTTTATGTTAAAAATCGAACAGCTAATTAAATAAGATATTTTGAAAAGTATATTCTTTTTTTTAAAATTTAAAAAAAAACTACTTTCACTTCATGAATTTTCAGATATCTTAATTCCAAGAGACTTGCTTAAGAGTTTGTAAATTGTAAAATCCAAATTTGATAAAGCTATGCGAATTGCAAAGAACCAAAAACTATTTGCACGAAAATTCAAATGATTTAATTGTGTAAAATATAATTACTAGCAAAGCTAATCACCTCAATAGTGAACTTCATGATTGTAAAATCTTTGTCTATTTAAGCAATTTGATATAAAAAATTTAAAGCTAGTATATGAATGATTAAATTGAATTTATAATATAAAAGTCAATACTAATTATCTATTTAAATATGAGTTGTAAAACTCTATTGTATAGTAAATTGACTCTTCTATAAAACTACAGTGGGGTACAATATTATTATAAACACTTTTTAAAATTTTATATTAAGCTAAATAAATAAGATATAAATCTAAAAATTATACAAATTATTAATTAAATCTAAAATTTTTAAATAAAAAAAAGTTTGCAAAATTTTATGCAGTAGTTTTTGAGTTAATTAAGGTGACACAAATTTGTATAATATTATACTTGTACGAAATTAGTAATTTGAAAAAATTAGTTATCATAATTACTGTATATTAAAAAAAATTTTTTTATTAAGTATATTATATATAAAATTTGTTCAGTGTAATAAATTATATATAATTTTAAATTTTTAAAAACTTTTAAAAAATTTTAAACTAAATATTATTATTGAAAGTTAATGTTAAATTATTAAAATAAAATTAACAAATTACCAAATATAGTAATTTTATTACTATATATAGAAATTTACAAAATATTTTTTAAAAATTATAAAATTTTCAAAATATGTATAATTTGTCATGCTAAATAACTTTATTAAAAAAAAATTGCTAGTATGCTTGCTAAAAAATAAAGTTTTATATACACTAAAAATTAATATTTAAATTTATACTAAACCTATATTAAAAACTAGTAAATCGTACAAATGAAAAAATCTAAAAAAAATTTAAACTTAATTATTTCAATAAGTACTGCATAGAATTTTATAATTTTTTTTTATTTGAAAGCTTTAGATTAAATAATAATTTGTATAATTTTTAGCTTTATAACTTGTTTATTTAGCTCAGTATAAAATTTTAAAAAGTGTCCACAATAATATGGTACCCCCTGTAGCAATGTTTCCCTAAGATAGATAAACTTGATTGTAATATGTGATAGAAATATTGGAGGCATACAACGAAATGGTGGAATTTATTTTCGGATATGAAGAGTTTATCTGAAAATTTGATATCCATGGTCTATCGTTGATAGAAAAAAAATTGTTTTTACCCTGATTCCGGCAAATCTTGGCAAATCACTTACAAGGAGGCTCCATGAATTTTTGGCCTCAGATTGAGCCAGCAAGATAGTATTATTATTTAGGACATCATAAATACCAGCAAAGTTGTGTGTTGAGCTTCAGGTAAGTCCCATACAACTACATTATACGATTCATTAAATAAATAACCTCCGTAAATCAATGAAATGACGGAATATAAGATAAAGTTTAGATTAGGATTCAGTACAGATAAAAATAATACCGATCCTGAAGAGAGAAAACGAATTATAATATGGTACGGGTTCGCAACGCTTGTAGAATTTGCAAATGATTAACGTGCACATATGCCCGGCTCCAGTATATTCTATAGAATATCTGATAGAAGTAATTTTTATGATTGGCAATGAAGATTGAAATAGTGCATAAGGAATTCATGTATTTAATTGATCACAATCCTGGGTGCGTCATAAATGGGTTATTAATACTTATGCTACTGTCAGGAGTGACATTGGCAAATACAATAGCATAACCTCCATCTATGGTACTAATTGTTGTACTAATTTCAATAGGCACCATAAATATATCTCCAGCCAATAATGAGATTTTAACATTAACGTCACTGAAAAATGAAAGAAATGTCAAATGATGGAAAAAAGGATAGGTTCGAGTCGTCCAGCCATTGGATAAACGCTGAGAAATCCATACCTGGGATCAATATTTATTCTTATGACGGCATTATTAGGTGTCCAAGCATGATTTCCCGAGGAGTATTGAACTAAAAGCAAAAATGAATATGATAATTATTGTTATAGCGATAGAGATTGATTATCTTTACGAATTCGTCATAGTCATCCTAACCTCAAGACATTTCCATTCCAATTAATAACCATTCCCCTTTCGCGACATGTCGAATAATCACTTTCATCAGCGGCATTCGTGTACGTCACCACCAACATGAGATCATTATATAGCGGATAAACTCGAATAGGCCTTAAGAATACATCACTGCCAAAACAATAATTTGGGTACGGAATTCCCAAACCAACATCAATTTCTGTCACGCTTCCATTTGAATGAATAATGCGTAATGATAATAACGACTCAAAGCAGCCGAGGGAGTTGCAGAAGAGTTTTTACGAACTATTTGAACTAATATTGTTCCGGATCCGTCATTATAATGTTTAATATCTAGAACACGAGGTGGTTGTGTGGAATTTTAGATTTTGGCCACTCTCAAAATACGCAGAATTCGACGTGACACAATTTGTAGGCAATATTAATAATGCCAAAAAAATGCACACGAGAACTAATTTATAAAACTGGATTTTTATATAACAATTTTTTTTCAAAAATTATCAAACTTTATACGTAGTAGTAAATTGAAATGATTATTCTAAAATGGTAAAATGGTGGCCGTTCTGTACAAAACTTCTGGGCGATGTATCTACTTTTTTCTAAAAATGATATTTTAATTGGAATTTAGAACCATAGCTACTGCTGGAGGCTGTAATTTATATATTGTTACGCGATTATACTAAGCATTGTAAGTCACCTATGGAATGGGTTCCCTTTAATAGACTAGCGAAGTGACCCTAGTAAAATTTTCTTCCTCAGGCCGATTATGCCCGCACCTAAAACTATAAGTTTTAAGAAAACAGTGCTGAATTCTGCATCATTGGTCGATTTTTCCACTGTGCGGACTGTGCGCAACACACAGAAATAAAATTTTACGTACATTTTTTTTGAATAGATGTGCGAATGCCGCACAGAAAAATTGACATTTTGAAGTAGTGCGTACAATTACAATGGTTTCTCTTGGTTTTTTTTTATTTTTTATTTTTTTATTTGCACAAAGAAAAGTCTACAAATTGTACGGCATCCTCATAGTAATTTTAGTTAAAAATATTAACACTACTTAGTATCTTTAGTAGAAATATAATTTACACATCCATTATTATGCAAAGTGTATTATTAAATTTTGTTACTTTTTTAGCCCGATAAAATTTACTATTGCGTGATGAGCAAGAAGAAAAATTTAAAAGTGCACAAAATACAATCTTATAAGATTATTAAATTATTCTAGAAAATTAACTTGTTTATTACTGAAAGAATCATGAAATTTCAAAGTAAAAAAAAAACATAAGGAACTTTAATATAATTTTTTTGTGAAAAGCCTGTCAACGAAGTGACAGGGCGAGGCGATCATTATTGCGAAATCAGATGACTTTATGACCGGTCAAATTACAGGTTTTTTATATATCCTTTTGTGTTTATTTTTGACTATTGTTATAACGTGTTTTTTTGTTATGGCTTATTGTTAGGTAAGGGATAATGGCCAAATGAGATATTTAAGGCTGGTTGTTTGGTGAAGAAGATTATCTTTTTCTTCGCTATCGCTCGCCTTGTGAAGGCTGGCTCTATCACCCTCGCTTACTCACCCAAAGTCAAGCAAGTAGAACTATTGTTATGCCAGGCTCCACGGCTGCATAAGCAGTGCAAGGACCTGATGTTTTTGGCTCCACGGCT